ACCTGGCCGCGTAGAAATAGTTATTTTTGCTTTCAAACACAAAAAACCTCTGCACTAAAGTGTAAATGTTAAATTACTTATGTCCTAGCGCAAATACGACATTATCTTCTAAAACTTGCTATGCCTCCTTATTATTACCAATGGAAGTCTGGGAAGTGGGAAAGTTTAAAAGGCCTTCAAAGAAGACTAAATGCATCACAAGCTATCCATTTACAAAAATAAAGAGCAAGATTTAGTTAGTTGACACGATAGAAATGCCGGGATGAGAATATTCGTATGTGAGTTCTGTGCAAAATGTGGGTTGAAAGATAGCTAAAAATGTCGTGTAATCAAACAGATCGTTTATTTTATAACGAGTGGCGATAGAGGATATAGATCACAACATTAAATAGTTCCCACTTGATTGTTGATTAGAGACAATGTGTAAGTCTTGCATGCATTAGTCTCCATTTATGAAATGGAAAAGGCTCAAGAAAGGAAGAAATTATTGTGGCATGACTTTCTTTTAAGAAGGAAATGTTGCTCGGAGGGAATTAGTAATGTGATCTCATCGCGAGAAGGGGGAGGATTGCCATTTAGAGAAGACAGCTGTATTTTGCGAAAAAGTTCTTTGCTCTCCGTCCTGAGACGGAGAATGACATAAATGAAGGGCGTGCCTAAAAGCCCTGTGGAATAGAACGCTAGGAAAACTGTGGGCCTGCTTACGGAATACCTTACCACCATTCACATATATTTATTCATGTATACGCACATTACATGTATCAAGCGTACTAGCAGTTATATATAGAGAAAAACAGGGTTTTGATGGATTTCATAGGGATATATTTTGACATGATTTTCCATTTCGAAGGAAAAGTTTGTTAGAAAGATTTCATAAAATGGTATCATCGTAAAACAAATGAGGATTGCCGCAATTGGATGTATTATGGATTATAAGAAAAAGTCCTCGGCTCACCATCCTTCAACCCCAGTGAAATTGTGCCAAGCTTTCGTCTTTACTGTGGCAGACATCATCTGAACAAGAATCCAGACTTCCCAAAATAGAGCAAAAATATATTAAACCAAAAAGAAAAGATAAAGCTTAGTATCTTGTTGCTATATTTCATAAATAATGGGTTCCTGCCCTGACGATGCATCCCACTTTAGTATATATGAAAGCTTAGTGCAAGTTCATCGAAATGGCAGGATAATTATCCACGGACTTCTTCGAACAATAAAACAATATTCTCATACTTCGGTTTCCAGTGTGATCACATGAAAAATTGCTAAAAGCCAACGTTTACTTGGTTATTTGTAGTCCTACCATAATATATTAGTAAAGAATTCTTCAAAAACCAGTTTTTTATTTCTTAGAAATATAGGGCCATTCTCTTAACAAATATTATATGATAAAATAAAAAATAGGAATAATAACATAAAACAGGAGTTCGTATGTTAAGAAAATGATCTCACAATAAGTTAACATGCTAACTGCGAAAATGTAGTCTTTAAACTAAAAAATAGGATTATGTTAGTTTTATAGTTTATAAAAAACTACCCAATTAAAATTTTTATTTTTAAATTTAAATACAAATTTAATTGTGTATAATTGCTTTAATTAAAGCAATTTATATGATTACTTTTTTGAAAATATTTGTTTTTTCATAATAAATAGTAAATAAATTTTTAGCCCTACCTTCGAACATATTTTTTGTTTTCGTCTTCACACAGTATAAATGCTGGCAAATTTTACAAATATTATCTTCTTGATATTCATTTTTCATGCATTATTTTCTGCTATTACGGGTACTACGAATGAATATGGAATCGTTATAGGAATAGATCTTGGAACAACTTATTCATGGTATCAACCTTTTTATAAATTTATTTACCAGCGTTGGTGTTTCTCTATCTGGTCGAGTGGAAATAATTTTAAACGACCAAGGAAACAGAATTACTCCGTCTTATGTTGCTTTTTTGGAAGATGGCTCGAGACTGATAGGTGATGCAGCAAAAAATCAAATCACTATGAACCCTACAAATACAGTTTTTGATGTTAAAAGAATTATCGGACGATCTTGGGATGATGATATGCTGGCCAAAGATATCAAAAACTTTCCTTTTAAGGTAAGCCAAATGACATTGTCTTGTATAAAATAAAAAATCACCTATATTTTACCTAAATTCCTCTAAACAAAATCTTTTTAAATCATGTAGCAATAAGAATTATACTCTCTTTCTTATAATTTTTAAGAAATATGCTAGTCTGCTTTAAG